GCTGTGGCACAAGTGCCACAGATTCACCACCACTGCTCTAGGCTGTCTTTTGGGAGCTGACTTCTCTCAAGTTACTTTTACTTTCCCAAACTGGCTGCTACAGATGGTAGGAAGGTATGAGCTAGCTGTTAAAAGTCCACTGTATATGTGGGAGAGCAAGAAGAAGGACAAGGCTTCCTTTTTTTCCCTGTAAGTGCATAAGCATTCATGCCTACTTTTATCCTTCTCAAAAAAAAAAAAAAAAAAACAGGAACCTGACAAAACAAAACATTTTTCTCAAAAGAACTTGACAAGAGTCAAGTCCAACCTCCCCACCACCCCCCCGCAAAAAAAAAACCCTTGAGGAGCTCACTGCAAAGCAGGTAATATACTAGCCAATCCCCTTTTTTCACACATACCTTTGGTTTACCTTTGGTTTATCTTGAAAACTAGCTTTTCCATAGCAGGTATTCTCCCCCAACCCTGGGGCATTGCCTTGGTAGACCCAGATTATCCCCATCTGGATATCCTTTCTGCTCAAACTGCCCTAAACTTCACTTCTTTCTGATCCAATGTCCTTATGACTGGATATTGCTTCAGGACATTCTCTTTCTTCTCCAACCCCCACTGCTCACTTCTCAAGATTTCTGAGAATTGTAGGGGCCACCTCTCCCAGATACATTCTTCAGAGTTTATTCCCAGGCCCAAGCTACTTCCTCCTGATTTTCTGGACTACACCTCTCATCGTTTCCAGATCACCAGCACATCTGGAGGGCAGCAAGTTAGTCGAGGCTGTTTTGGATCATCCAATGGGAAACAGCGAGGGCATGTGCTCCCCAAATTTTGGAGAGGCAGGTGAGCAACAAAAAGGGCCAAGAACTTTACTGGCAGATCTACTGTAGTATAAGTTTTACTATGCATTTCTCTGCATTTCTACTCATGTAAGAAGTAAATCCCAGTAGTGATGATACGGAGGCAAAGTACCAAGCAGTAGTTTAATTCATTCTTGCAAGAGCGGGCGCCCACCACACAGGCAGCGTGCCGTTTATGCACAAGACATTGCTTTTTATTCCCTTGTCCTGGCTCGCAGACCCTTCCTCTTTTCTCCCATTGGCTGGGCTACTAAGATGTTGCAATCTTCTCTGTCCGCCTACATCATACTGCCCCTTGATATGCTCCCCCTCCCGCTCATACATCCCATGTTCATGCTAATGAGCCCATTACCTATGAGAGGTGTGTCAGTTACTATTCACGAACCTATTAAGCATGCACAGTACCTTCTAAAAGTTCAACAGGTCGGAGTGGCCTTGTAGATTCTTACTTGACGCCAACTTGTTTCCTAAATCTTGTGGGAGGATGAGATAGGACAAACAGGCCTTCCTCCAGGCTCATTACAGCCAGTTGTAAAAGGCAATCAATTTCCTACTCTCTTCCACTGAAGGTAACAGTTTTACCACTGTCCCCCACTTTTACCCTCTCTGGTATTTTTCAGGACTTTGATGTAAGAAACACTATTACTTTTAGTACAACTATTTACATGGTTCTATTCTCAGGCCTTTTGGCCTTAAGGGACTTCAATGATCCTACCCTAGCCCTGTATTTCACCCTTTCTTTGGTTTTCACCTTACCACTCAGTAATATTTCATTTCTCACACTCAGGAATAAGTCGCTGTGAATTCAGTGGGCCTAACCCCTAGGAATGTGTGTACAGAAGCGGAGATTTGGTACAATCCAAATTGCTACAGAACTCTTTGCATGCCCCTGCACACTTGTTTTATGGGACCTACACAGAGCTATTCCTCTGGAATGGGCTCACAAAGTATTATGTGGCACCTAGAACAACCAATTGAATGTGCCATTAGCTTTGGAGGACTAGAATCCACTTCCTCAGCGATATACACCGTGGCCAGATAGATGCATGTGGATAAAAGGGGGGGGGGATGTAAACACAGGAGGCCAAAGGAGCATGAAATGCAAGAGCTACCTTTTGTGATGTGCTCCTAAAACTCGAAAACAAGCCAAAGAGGCAATGCACTTCCACAAAAGCAACCTTTTGACGATCACACGAACTTTTTCACCCTCGCTGTTGTTGGGCTTTTTCTTCTTTCGTGGGATTTTTTTTTAACGTAACCGCTGCCTTGGGGAAATCCCTCCTCTTGATTAAGCCTGACATGAATAGGATCAAACGGGTTGATAACATTCTACGTCACCCGTTTCACGCTTTGAGGTCGAATTTGATCACCAAAGCCGCCCCCTTTCCCTCCCAGACTTCTGCAGCGGGATCGGAACGCCGCGCGGTTCACCCAAACGCTGCCCCCTTTCAGCAGACCAGTGCGTGGATCATAGGCCGGGATGGGCTTGCGTGCTCTTTTTGTCATCACTTGACTCCACCCCGGCGGAAAAAAAAATTCAGCGAAGCAGGAAGAAATCCACCAGCCGGGCGTGCTCTGTGTCTCGGCCGGTTTCGGGAGGAGGAGAAGGGGAGACACCCAAGCGCGAGGGGATCCCCACCCCCGGCACGGGGCGTACAAAACGGGGCGTCCTGCTCGGGGAGAAGAGAAAGGTAAAAGCGCTGTTGGTTGTCACGTCTTTCTTTCTCGTTTGAACACGATTCGGTCGTGCGCCAAGGGATCCCCACGGCGCCCTTCCGCTGTTCTTGGAGAGGTGCTGGAGAGATTTCGCTTACCGATCGTGGGGTTGGGGGAACTGCCCCACACAGCGGGAGAGATACCGAAGGGAACTGAGAAAGCTCCCTTGTTGTTCAGCTGGTGCAGTCGACTTCCTGATGCGGTGGTTGAAGGAAGGAGGGAGATGCCCTCGAAAACGAAACTAGATTTCCAAGTTGCCGACGTTCGGTCCAAAAAGTTTAGGCGAGCGCTTCCCCATCGTGGTGCCGTCTGAAATTTCGACAGGCTCGCAGACAGTTTGCTGAATTGTTTGTGTTGCGGGTTGTGTGTGTGTGTGTGTGTGTGTGTGTGAGAGAGAGAGAGAGAGAGAGAGAGAGAGAGAGAGAGAGAGAGAGAGAGAGAGAGAGAGAATATTTTTATCTGGTTTGGCCCCCAGGTAGTAAAAAGTTGCGAGCAGCACAGTTTCTTCGATTATTTCTCAGCCCTTGCAAACTTAGAATTGGAGTGGAGTGGGGAGGGGGAGGGGGCAGGTGAAAGGGGGCAAGTGCTGTGGGCATGCTAACATTGCGAGTTTAAAAAGAGAATCCAGTGGACCGTTGACCAAAAGCTACTGTGACTTAAAGTCAATCCTAGGTACGTTGAGACAGAAGTTCCACAATTCCTAGCATGCCCCAGTTAGCATGGATACCTGGAGGAATGCTGGGAATTGTAGAAATTTTGCCTCACCAGGTGTGCATAGGGTTGTGCCTTTAAGAACATAACAGAAGAACAGCTGGATAGCTGTGTACAGAGGCCGGCCAATTGCAGGGGGTGTACAACTTCAAGCTTGGGGGACAAATCAGACCCAAATGACCATGCCCCCTTCTTGTGAACCCTCCCCCTTGGGTGATTTCTCATCTTTTGTATGTTTCTTTCTCTGTTTGGAAAGTTTACGACAGGTCAGTATTAAGGCATAGCTCCTTGCAGTCAGAGCTTTAAGCTAAAACAAGTTGGCATGTTTTGTAATCTTAGCCCTGTCCCTTTTGGCTTCAGCATTGGAATTCATCCCTCAGCACGTTCTTCAAAATGTAAATCAGCTTCCTGGCTGCAAGAAGTTAAGACCCCAATCTAGTTGATCATAGTGGTTCATTAGATTTCTCCAGAAAGACCATACACAGGACATGAGCACAGGAAACCCACCTGCTCATTTTCTCATCAATGCCTCTGATACTGGAAGTAATGTAGAGCCATTATAACTAGTAGCCATTAGGAACATAAGAGGAGTCATGCTGGATCAGACCATTCTGTTCACACAGTGGCCAGCAACTGCCCACAGGAAACCAAGAAGTGGGACAGCAGTGCATCAGTTCTCTCCAGCCCATGTTCCCCAGCAACCTGGGCATGGTGCCTCTTATACAGGAGGTAGCAGATAGTCATCGGGACTAGTAGCCATTGGTTTCTTTCATGGCAACAAATCCATCTAATCCCCACTTAACACCCCGCCCCCCACACACTCACACACATTTAGATTGGTGACCATTGCTACAAGGAGTTAATGTCATTGTTTAGCAGTACACTGTACGAATAAGTACTTTCTTCTGTCTGTCTAGAATCTCCCACCAATTTGCTTCATGGGATAATCCCACTGGGTTCTAGCATGATGAGAGAGGGAGGAAAAAATGTCTCCCTGACTACCTTTCTACATCATGCATTACTTTGGATGCATGTTATAGCCCCTTCGTTTGCCTTTTCTGTAAGCTAAACAGTCCCAGATGCTGTAGCTTTCCTCATATGGCAATAACTATTTTAAGGTACACTTGTGTGCATGTTTATGCACACACACACACACACACACACACACAGCCTACAATTCCCAGCATGCTGTGACCAGGTGTGCACCTTGGGGCAACACCATCAAGCAATTCCTAGCTGATCTGTAGTATGGCACAAATCATCCAAACTTTGGAGGGATGCTAAAAAAATTAAATGCTAAATGATCAAAATTCTTAGGTTGTACACGTATCTGGGCATGGGCCTCCCAGACCATCTAGTCTGACCTCCAGCTCCAGCCAGCTCTGCTCATGTAATCCCCAACATTGTGGCCACAAGTTACAGAGCAGAAAGATCAACCTTAATGCCTTGTCTTTTTCATGTTACAGGTCCCAGATTTCTTTTTCATGAATTGACAAGCTTCCCTTTGAACTGTAAACATGTCGTTGGTAGACATCCAGATGAATTCAGAGGACTTATTACAAAAAGAGCAGCTGGATGCTGGTGGATTTGGAATGGTTTCTTTGTGTTACCACAAGAGGCACGGGCTGGTGGTATTAAAAACAGTGTACACCGGGCCTCAACGTACAGAGTAAGTTGAAGAAAGCACGGCCCTTGCAAGCAGGGGAGAGCAGACCAGAGCTGTCTGTCATCAAGCTCCTGATGATTCCTGGCATTTCTGCATGGATTGTCTCTTTCCCTAACTTTGCCAGTAATTAGCTTGCCCAGAGATTCACCCCTAAGGCAGTAATTCCCAAACTATGCACTATAAGAGCATAAGAATACTTTTTCTGGATCAGACCAAAATAGGGTTGCAAGATCCCGTGGAATCTGGCTCACTTCTGTTTGTTGAACTTCTTTCTCATGCTCAGCCCTGGCACAGGAAGCGATCCGAGCCGGAGGAAGTCTGCAAAGGCTTCTGAATGCTAGTGAAGTCCCTCTTGCGCAACCCAGCAGCACCCTTCCTGTACAGTACATGGAGCATAAGCAAAGCCTGCAAGTCACAAGAAGAGGAGTGCTATTGTTCAGCTTTTGTGTGGGCTCAATTCTTGGTAGACACCCATATGAACACTCACTGCCAAGGTGGACTCGGGGCCCTAGAAAGGAGCTGAGCCAAGGGAATTCAAGGGATTTCCGCCCTAAAGCAGGTGCTGCAAACATCCCTAGACCCAGCCGTCCACCTGGGTCCAGCTCTTTGTAATCCCCGGCCATTGACATGATGGCTGGAGGTGATATGAGCTGTAATGAAAAGCATTTGAACGGTCTACTTTTTAAGGTGCATTGTCACATATTGATTGATTTATTTCTTACTTATGTGTATTCTTCTGTATGGTTATTTTGCATGCCACCTTGAAAAGAAGGACTATAAATCATTTTAAATAAGTGAAACAATACTCCTGTCTCATCTAGTCTGGGGCATCTCATGCATATGCTTCTGAGGAGCCCACAGAGCAAGGTATGAAGGTGGTCACCCTCCCCAGCAACTGGTAACCCCATTAATTAAACAGGGATGGGTTCCTGTGAGCACCAGTTGTTCACCATGGAGGTGACTTGTTACATCTGTGCATGATGCTCTGCTCCATTGTTGCTATCTTCCAGCCAGCCTTTACTGCAACTGAGGAAGTCAGTCTCATCTCTGCATAAAGATCTGATTCCAGATGTGAGAGGACTCTTCACAAGTTGCCTCTGAGTGGGACCCTTACTGGATCAGAGAGTTCTCAGTTGTCTTTCCTGATGGTGGTGGCGGAAGCAAATGTTCCGGTGAATGCCAGGCAGCTGGGACTGAGGAAGCTGTCATTTTAATTTCCCATAATGCTAGGGGCCCTCTGCCACTTGTCACCTTTTGGGTATAAGACTGAAACATATTTGCAGTTTTAGTCACCTCACTATTTTGAAAGATGCTCTTCAGCTAATGGAAATCTGGGGAAAATGGTGGCTTATAGGCGCCAACCATTTAGAATTCCATGGAAATTCTGTGATAATTAATCACCATCCAAGCAGAAGACAATGTTTCATCCAGCACAGCATTTGCAATTTCATTCATAGATTCTACTGCGGTTTCGTTCATAGGTCACCTCCCACTTTGACTTGTAACTTCAAATAGTTCACAGGGTTAGGTTAGAGTTTGAGAGTTGATAGTTTAAAATTTTATCAAACTCTTAGATCAATAGTCCTCCGCTGCTTTTGACAGTCAGGCACATGGCAATCCTGCTGTATTTGTTTTTCAGATGTAATACTTCCCTTTTGGAAGAAGGCAAGATTATGTACAAACTGAATCATGATCGTGTGGTGAAGCTACTGGGTGTCATTTTGGAAGATGGCAATTATTCCCTTGTGATGGAATATGTACGCAAAGGGAATCTGATGACCGTACTAAAGGCAGTGAGTAGATAGCATGATTAATAACTTGCATAGAAACCACCCAGCAATCTTGAGATGGTGCCTAAAGAGGAAACTCAGTACTCAGAATTTTGAGGATCATTCTTATCTTTGTTTTGTTTGTTTTTTTTTGGTATATTTGTGTTGCAGTGAAATGGGTTTAGGACTTCCAATAACCCAGTGAATCAGGTACACTATCACGTAAGAAGCCAGAAACAAAAGAGTGGCGAGTCCTCAGCTCCCATTCATAAGCAAAACTGTTTGCTCTTCTTGGGAAAAATGTTCTGCAGTCTTAACGAATGGTGTCAGTAGAGCCATTCTGTTAAATATATATCTTGAAGACAGATTTCCAAAGAATGTGGAAAGCTTGGCAGTAAACCAGAAGGAATAATATAGAAATGCAACTATTCAGATAAAGCCATGCAGAAATATGATTAATATACTTTGGGTACATCTATACTCATTTAAACAGAAAAAAAAATCCTACAACTTGTTTCTAGCTGCTATGAAGTTTTTTACTTTTTCCTAGAAAAGCAAAAGTAGCTAGAAGAAGCAATGTGTGGGTGTCATCTATTTACTTTCCTTTAATGAATATTAATCCTAAAGGGGCAGAAGGTAGATAAGGATCTATCAATTGTTTTCTGGCTGATTCCTGGTGAACTGCTAAGGCTACCTCATTTCCGATGGTTTAGCAACAGCAGCAACACAGCAGTCTCATTGCCACTATTACTTAGCTGTTCTCAATTATATTGCTAAAATGAAGAAAGTTCTTGGGCTCCCCAGGAATGTTTTTTTTTTTTTTCTGCAGAAACACTCCCTTCACTCAAAATGAATACTTGGGCTTGTAGTAATTTAATTCTCACTCTGGTTCTTGTGCATCTTGTTCTGGATGGTGGCTCTTTTGATGTTCCAGTTTTTTAAAAAAACCGTGCACAGTACAGATCTCTGCTCAGCTTTTCATCCATTCCTGAGGGAAGTTCTATCAGTATGGGGCTAAATAAGTCAGTCATTTTTTAAAAAACATAAATAAAGTAAAGTAGATTCATTTCACTGACCTGCCTCCTAATTGTGGCAGGTGCAACTAAACACATAGCATCGATCCACTTTTTTGAAACATTCTGCTGTTTTTTATATTCTTGCAGACCCCAATTCCTTTGTCTGTGAAAGGACGCTTCATCCTGGAGATCACTGAAGGAATGCTGTACTTAACCGAGCAAGGCTTAGTGCACAAAGACCTAAAGCCAGAAAATATCCTTGTAGATGAAGACTTTCACATCAAGGTACCATGGGAACAAAACTCCTGGCTTGGTTCATCAAAGGGTGATAGGACTTCGTCAGATATGTGTGGATACTGGAGAAAATGTGCTAGTCTGTTTGGCTCTACACAATAGTGTTTCTTTCACTGGATGCGGTGTGCTGGGCAGAGAAACTAATATGGCCTCCTTCTCCTATTATCCTCAGCACAGTCTGTTTCTGTTAAGTTGTTTTCTCTCAGCCAGTTCACTTGCAGTATCAAAGCTGGGCGGAGGGGAAACACAGTGAAAGGTACCAAACTAAGTCAAGGCAGGCATGTTTTCCTCCCTTCCCGGACAGGTTCCTTTTAGTATAAGGTTGATTCTCAGATGGGAAGGTGAGCATTTAATAAGCATGCACAGACGCCTCTTGGCTCTTAGGGGGCAGTGTAACTTGAGAGCTGGTGTCATAAAACAGGGGAACTGAATAGTCTGGCAGACTGACTCACTCTTCTGTGGGGTCCGTTTGTTTGTAAAGACTCTCCGGTGAGTAATAAAGCACCGGTGAGTAATAAAGCAATCCATGCCGTCTGCTTTATCATCTTAAAGATATGACACAAAATGGATGGGAAGAGGGAAAAGCAAGATCAGGCAAGGGCTCTTAGTTACTGAATTTTTAGAAATGCCAGCTGGCATGTTGTGCAGGAATCCTAGGAGGAGACCACAATTGGCTTCAGAAGGTGCAAGGACAACAGGCCTCCTCCGATAGTGAAGACTCAACATTCCTGGGTTGGATGTCAGTGTGGCAGGAAAGCAAGTGCATCATGAGGCACCTTTCCACCTATACATTTGAGCAAAAGAAAATATGCAGTAGCCAATTTACCTGGATAGTTTGTATTCTTTTCCTGGTCCAAAAGGAGGGCAGAAATCAGAAGAAAAGGAGAGGTTGTTTTCATGTTTAAATCCATGGGCTGGATTTGGCTCTGGCAATGTAAAACCTGCCATATTTAATGAAGTGCTCAAATGGTTCATGGATGGAGACTTTGGAAAATGTTTGCTCTCACACCAAGTGTGTGTTGCCTGTCAGAGGGCGCTGGTAGTCCTGTGATGCTGGCTGCTTGCTCTTTCCTTTCCCACCCAAACTGTTCTCCCTCCTGTCTTGCAGATAGCCGACCTTGGTGTGGCCTGCTTCAAAAACTGGAGCAGGCTGACTAAAGAGGAGACCAGCCGGCAGAGGAAAATCAAATGTAGCTCCAAGAGCAATGCTGGCACCCTTTTCTACATGGCCCCAGAACACTTGATGGATATCAACACTACCCCCGTGGAAAAATCTGACGTTTACAGCTTTGGCATAGTCTTATGGGCCATTTTTGCTGACAAAGAACCTTATGAGAGTAAGTCTTCGCAATCAAGCATGGCGACCGTATTTCTCACTGCATGCGCCCAAATTCATTTTAGCCACATTCAATCCTTTTCTGTTCCTCCCCAGATGCTGTAAATGACATGCATGTGTGCTTCTGTGTCATGCATGGGGACAGGCCACTCATAGATGAAATACAAAATAATTGTCCAAAAGTAATTATTACTTTAATGAAAGATTCCTGGAAACAAAAGCCAGAGGAGCGTCCAACTTTTGCAGGTAGTGAAAGGTTATTTTCCTTTAAAAGATAATGTTAGTGTATGTTTTTGCATTTTTTAACAAATCTGGTTACCAATGTGTTGTCATGTTGAGCTAACAAGGTCTTTATCGCATGAGAAGGATGAGACAGAAATGCTGTGTTCTGCTGAACTAGTGTAAACCAGCCTCCAGCCCTTTTTTAAAAAACACCAAACAATAATCAACAGTAAAAAATAAAGGAAACAGTAGTAAAGTTAGCCGAAGGTTTTCTGAATAATTAAAAAGGGCATTTGGAAAGCAGTGAGAATGGATGTAATGGGCCTGAAGATGGTACTCTGCTAAGCAGACCTCACTCTACATAGTCTTCAGTCTACGTCCTGAAAGCTGTGGCACAGAGATCCTTGTAAATTCTTGTTCTCTTTTTAAAGGAGGGGCCAGTCCCACATGTCACAACTACATCTAAGCATAATTTCTCAGCTACATCCACTTACCCAAATTGGGGATGGGGAACCTTCTTCACCCTAAGACTGAATTCAGTTTTGGGAGGTTCTAAGGAGGCTCCACTTCAGTGATGGACTCAGCTGGAAGCAAAAGGGCCAGACCCTTAGAAGCCTTTGAAGAGCCATTTCAATCTTTTAGAATGGGTGTAAAACTTCATAAAAGCCAGGAAAGCACCAGACAATTGGTGGTTAAGGGAGGGGGCATAGCCATTTGGACAAGCCGAGAAAGTCAAACTGGGACTCCAAGAGGGTCAGATTTAGCCCACACACATGCAGTTCCCCATCTCTGATCCAAATTTAGGTTTGTGGTGTGTTGTATAAAACCAAACCAATGGCCCCATGAACCCATACCTCTTTTGAGTAAAATTTCTACACATTATGGGATAGCTATTGATTTTTGAGGCTCCCAGTGAAAGTCTAGGACAAAGGACAAAGAGCAGGGTTCTACGTAATGAAAGAGGATTCTGTTTTCCTTGCTTTATTACTTCTAGGCCCAATTTTTCAGCAGTTGAGTAAAGGTTTTTTCACCAGTAGAATTTTAACTTTTGCATGAATCCACCATGTCTCCAACAATTGTATGAATTAATGTTCCTCAAAGTGGTCTGAAATTATATAAAGTATGACCATTTGGATTATGGTACTTTTCCTCATAGGCTATTTATTAATTTCATTTCTATACTGCTCAAGAACTTTAGCTCTCTGGCTGGTTCACAACAATTAATCAGCTATAAAGGATAGAATTAAAATACCAACACAAAAAACACAATATAAAGTGTGCAAATTTAAAGCAGCTAAAATTCGAATATACAAAAATATAATACAAGGAAAGCATTCCCATTATAAACCAGACCTAATTAAAAACAGTAGACCTAATCCAACATATGCCGATAAATGCTTGGGAATAAAGGACAGTTTTAATTTGACACTAAGAAGATTTTTATTTATTTATTTTTATTAAAACATTTTTATGCCGCCCCATTCGCCGACGCCTCGGGGCGGCTTACAACAATAAATTAAAAGAAATTATAATAAATTACAATAAATATAAACATTAAATTAAAAATACAAAAATACAATATAAAATAAGAAGACAATATTGGTGCCAGATGGGCCTCAGTGGGGAGATCATTCCACAATTGGGATGGCCCTCCTTTTCCTTGCCTCTTTCTGGACCTCCTGTGGAGGTGACGATCAGTGGAAGGTTCCAGATGAAGATTGTAGGGTCCAGGTAGATTGAGGTCAGGAGAGGCGTTCCATCAGGAATTGAGGTTCCAAGCCATGTAGAGCTGTATAGGTTAAAACCAGCACCTTGAATTGTACTCAGAAGCATATAGGCAGCCAATACGTGTGGGCCAGAGTTGATATATATTCAGACCTTCTGGTCCCAGTTATTAATCTGACTGTCACTTTTTGCACAAGCTGCAACTTCTGAACAGTCTTCAGGGGCAGCCTCACATAAAGTGCATTGCAGTAATCTAATTTGGAGATGACTGGACCATAGATTCTTAGACTAAAGCTGCCCCTGTCTAGATAGAGGCATAACTAGGCCACCAGTTAAAGTGAGCAGAAGGCATTCCATGCCACTGAAGCCACCTGAGCCTCAAGTGACAAAGATGGAACAAGGAGCACCTCAAACTATGAGGTGTTGGGAGAGTGCAACCCCATCCAGAACAGTCAGAGGGACCACCAGTGAACCAGTTTCTCAGTCTAGTCTGGACTGAGCTTCAGTTTATCAGCCCTCATCGAGTCCGTTATCGCTTCCAGACAGCAGTTCAGCACATCCACAGCCTGACCTGATGAGGATGTAAAGTTGGGACAGAGCTGTGTGTCATCAGCATACTAGTGGCAGTGCACTCCACAAATTCTAGACTACCCCACTCAGTGGTTCTGTGTAGGTGTTAAATAGCATGGGGGATAAGACCAACCCCTGAGAAACCTCATGATGGAGAGTCCATGGGGCGAGCAGTGTTCCCCAACCACCCCCCACCCCCCTCTGCTGCTGCCCATGCAAATGGGAGCAGAACCACTGCAATGCGGTACTGCCCACCCCCAACATAGACAGTTGCCCCAGCAGGATACCATGGTCAAGCAGCTGAGAGATCCAGGAGTTCTTACTAATATATGAATTCTTTACTACAGAAATCAGTTTGACATACACGCCATTTTACCAACAAAACTTTGAAGAGTTTGTTGAAGAGGATGTTAGAAAAATAAAAGTAAGTTATCTAAGATGTATGGTTCAAAGGAGGCATACTAAACCATGACTTTCTTATGTCTACTGTCCATAAATGTCAAGTGCTTCCCATGACCTCAAATGTTTTGTTCTGTTCTATGTAACAGGAAGTATACCCTGAACCAACTGAACTTGTGAAAAGGATGCAGTCCCTTGAAGTAGATGCTGTAGCAGAACCACCAGGGAGTGCCCAGATGGGTATTTATTTATTGGAAATAGTTTTATTCTGCCTTTCATCCAATAGTTTTGAGGATGGTGAACTTTGGTACATTACATACCAGCTTCCCTCACCTGATAGACTTGTCACATCCAGTCAGCCCCAACCAGCATGATGAATGGTTAGGAATGCTGGGAGTTGTAGTCTAAAATATCTGGAAGGCCCCAGGTGGGGGAAGGTAGTTGTATACCAGCTCTGTATAGTAAAAGTATAATCATATGAGGCAGCAGATAGAAACACAGTGTAAACTAAAGTATGAAAACACTTCAGAGGCCTGGAAACTTAAGCTGGCACTGGAAGGATTGTTGCATATTCACCAGGCACACCTCCTTAGGGGAGGTATTCCATAAGAGGGACATGACCACCCAAAATAGCCCTCTCCTTTAATATAACAACCTTCTATCAGAAAAAAAGCTTCAGTAGAAGATCTCAGGATGGGGGCAGAGTGGTACAATCAATTAATTTCGCTTGCCCTTCACTTGCCAATGTGAATGGACCTTATTTCAAATAACAATACAATGCCATTCTCTTATCCCCCAAAGTAAACACTAAATGCTTTATGTAGGTATTTTGCCTGCCAGACTGATTTTTTCTCTCTGTTGCCCTTTGTTTTAATCCTTTTTTAATTATGCTTTGAACTGACTGCCCTGGCTGCAGGATTCTTTTGCAATCAAGAGATCCCAGATTCAGTCCCTGGCATCTGCAGCTAGAAAGGATCAGCTGCCAGTTGATGAAGAAATCCTTTTTGCCTGAAAGCAAGGAGAGTCACTGCCTGTCACACTACTCAGGAGGCAAGACCAATAGGCTGACCTGGTTTATTCATTCATTCATTCATTCATCCATTCATTACATTTATATCCCACCTTTTTTCTTTTCAAGGAACTCAAGGCAGTTTACATAATTCACCTTCTCCTCTCAAGCTTAGCCTCACAACAACATCCCTGTGAGGAAGGTTGGACTGAGAGTCTATGAATGGCCCAAAGCTACCCTCTTAGCTCCATGGTTGAGCAGGGACTAGAACTTAAAAAATGATGGCAGTGCAATGAATTTCTCATGCTTACATCTTATGCATACCTACCCAGAAGTAAGTCTGAGTACAGTGGGACTGATGCCTAGGTACACGTGCACAGGATTTCAGCCCTAGTCTGTTCAATCCTCAGTAAGTCCCTCTTAATACAATGTTTCAGTGATGGTTCATTTTCAAGGAAACGTTGGCAAACCTACCAATCTAATCACTCCTCTGTCCTGCAGATCGGCCCAGTTCCTTGCACAGCTCACAGGGTCTTGCAGTGAACTCCATAGATGAAGCCCAGTTTGCAGCTTCCCCCAGTAACGAACCTGTGGAGAGCTGTGAACATACCTTCGAGCCCCCGATGACCTTGGAGAGGAAACTACAGGATGAGCTGAACTATCATGTGTATGGCAGCCGGATGGACAAGCCAGACAGCCATCCTGTGGTGTTCAGTGCTGCACTGGGAGAGGAGGAACACAGGAGAAAGATGTCCTATGGTCCATTTGCAAAGGGGCCTGTGGAGCCATACCTGAGACCTGAAAATCCTCGCTTAAACACAAGCCTTAGCAATCCCAACGCAGCCTGCTACAATGCATCATGGCAACCATCATCTACTGGAGCAACCCCGGAAAGGGGAAATATATTTTTGCCTCCAAATAGGATACATGGAGCAGAGCCTACAAATCTCAGAGCATCACTAAGTTCAGAAGATCTCTATGGATCCCATTCAACCAGTCTCTTCAATTTAAGTAAACCACCTGTGCCTGAATCTGGTATGGAACATTCAGCAAAGATAATTAATCCTTACCCTCTTGCCAAAAGTGTAAGGATAGAATCTGGTGAGTGAGTTGGTGCTGGTGGGAGGGGTTCTGCTCAAGGAGCAAAAAAGGCATACATTTCACTATAGCGACACTGAGAGTCAGCACGTCAGACTTACGTTATCCAGTTTGTCTGCTATGAGAATCCTGAGATTCAGAGCCCAGGAATCTGTTTTGAATACCAAAAATGAACTGAGCACAGTCCTTCAACACAAAATCCACTTCTAGTGGATTTACCATTTTTCATTTTGCTGCTGCTTTTGTTAAACAATTGGGAAATGGGAATAATTGCTGATCAGTTTAATTTACTCAGACATCTATCAGTGGATTGTGTACATCAAGTGGCAATAACACCAAATACATTTCAGTTCCAGGTTGTAAAAAAATGTGGAAAATTGAAAGGGGGCAAATGCTTCTGCGAGGCACTGTAATTACTCCTTTAGCTTTTTTAATCTTGTCCCTTCCTTCGTGGAGCCCAGAGCAGCATATCAGGTTCTCCCCACCACTTTGCCATAATATCATCACAACAACCCTGCAGGATAGCTTAGGCTGACATAGCAATTGATCTGAAATAAGCCAATGAGCTTCACTGGTCATGCAGATTTAAAGCTGGATCTCTCTGATTCTAGACTGGTGCTGCTACTATACTGTACTGTATATATACTATCTCTGTACTGAATAGACACTGGCAACAAAAATTTGCACAGGGGGAAATGGCTTGCAATTCAAGTGTTTAGTCCACAGAATGGATTTCTACCTCTTGGGAGGTTGATACATGCTCACCGTAGGTGGTCAGCTAGGTGGCCATTTACTGGCCTGCTGCATGATACAATACTAACATACTTTATCAAGTTAGTTTGCTGACAAGACCACTGTGAAGGTGCTATAATCATAGTTCTTATTATGATATGATTTCCATAATTGTTTAGATCCAAGGGAATCGCTTCCTTTTATGAAGACAAATTTTGCACATGCTTCTACATACAGAAAGAGTTCAGGTAAAAATGCAAACAATAAATTAACACAGGTGTTTTCTTAAAATGGACAAGATGAACTCTATAATTATGAGCAGTCTGATCAATCCAGAATCATAAGGCATTAATATCATTTCTTGGCTATGAAAACCCCAGAGTTACCAGCAAATCCGAGATGCTTGCAATCCCCAGGCTCTCAATTTACTTAAATGAAGAATTAATTTTAAACCTAGGAATATGTTTATTCATCCCATCAGTCCTAGGGCAATTCCAGGTGCAACCCAAAACCATCACACTGGTTGGTATAGCAAGGGTGAACAACTTGTGGCCCTCCAGATGTTTTATCCTGCAACTCCCATCATCCCTCACTATTAGCTCTACTGGTTAGGTCTGATGGGAGTTGTAGGCCAAAACATCTGGAGCGGCCATGTGTTGCTCACCCTTGTGTTAGAGCCTAATCTGTAACCAAGAGTCTAAACATAGACTTTATGACTTCAACATCTAGTCAGCTTTTCTCCCCCCCCCCCCCGCCGCCTTTTGCTTTTCTTCTTTGCCTTGCTTTTGTAATATCTGCTTGTTTATAATATTATTACCTATTGAAGAAACCTGTATCTTTCAATAGCTTGCACATTTTTGTAACCCTTCCGTTTCCTTTTTTTGCCCTAATATGGATGCAGGAGTACTCCTGTAATATTTGTGTGACATTTTTAGAGCAGTTATATTACACTGTACTGCATTGTGTTGAGCCTCAGCGTTAGGCTTACAGTTACGGTTAGGGCATATCTGATCAGTTTGAGATCCTCTCTGGCCTTCTGGCTTTTCCCTGATGGACATGCACTGTTTCCTTGCAATTGCCAAGCATTTGGTGATTTTTTAGGCTTTGCACAGATATTTTTTACCCATTCAAAAAGGTTGAAATGCCCCTTTTAAGGTTTAATTACCAGGAGTAAGAGCTTTAAGCTTAGATATACTGTTATTTCTGGAATTTTAGCACTGCTCCCTTTTGCCTTCAGCCTCACTCATCACTTGAATGCTTCTCCCAAGAGCATCTCTGAAACTGAATTCAACCCTCAGGATGAACAAGGTTTGACCCTCTTGCTCCAGTGCATGCATTTTCTTCCCATTTTATCATGGTACTAATTTAATTGTGTTACACTGACATCATACTGAAATAGTTTCCAAACCATACTAAAGTTAAATCAACCTTTTCTGTAGCAGTCCACAAATTATGAATCAGTTTGGTAGTCAAGTATTAATTTGTACTAGCCAACTGTGAACTCCGGTGCTGCTATGATAGCACAACAATATTATATACATTTGTCAACACATAACAATGTCTAATAGAATTGATGTTATAAATGTCAGGCTAAACCAGACATTTCTTTTTTTTAATTCCATAGCTTGTTAAAAAAGCAAACAAGTAAACATAGATAGCTATGCTGGTTCATGAAAAAAAACCACCCCAAATCCATATTTGGGCAATACTGTTACAGGAATCAAACAAAATGTCACAAAAATATGCAAGCTTTTGAGTCCTCCAGAACTCATTCTTCATCAGGCTAGTTGGTATAGGTCAGGGGTCAGCAACCTTTAACACTCAAAGAGCCATTTGGACCCATTTCCCACACAAAATACCGGGAGCCGCTAAACCCTTTTGACATCTAAAATGAAGATAACACTGCATATATCTTTTTTTACCTTAATGCTATGTATATCTTCATTATGATTTAGCTGCAGCTCTTGTTCAGTCACTAAAAACTGTTATTTTTAATCTTACATTATAAACTAGTAGGACTCCTTTCATATATTTTGAATAGAACAGCTTCCTGAAGAGTCAAAGTAAGTACTAAAGGGCTGCGTGCATTAAACAGCAAACCCCATAAGTTCGTCAGCAGTAAAAGCAAATGAATCTACCCATGTACCATTAAACGTTTGGTTTTCTTCAGAAACTTTTCTTAGATTTATCCATGGTTGGCCTATGGGGGGTGGGGGGGGCAAGGGGAGCTGCAGGTCCGCAGGTCACAGCTGTGCCTGAGATATAGGTGTGTTTAAACAGTCAAGTGCTGTGAATTGTGACCGGTCCCAAGCGCAGCTTTTAACATTCAGATGAAGGAGATTACATTGGGACAAAGAGAATCTTTTCAGCAGCATTTCGTTTTGTGTAACATGAGAGCCTGCAAGAAGCTTGTTTAGCAGAGGAATGTAGCAATTTACTTAACTAACTAGCACCCAGTTCCTGAGTGGAGCTTCGAGCAGATCAGTGGCTGTGCCGGCGCGTGTTTTGTGCGACGGAGCCACAGCAGAGGGATTCAAGAGCCACGTGCGGCTCCGGAGCCGCGGGTTGCCGACCCTTGCTATAGGTAGATCTCAAAATCTGGCCAGATAGTGTGACCATTAGTTTTACAGTTTAAACAGACTTAGTCTGTTTACAGAACCCACCCCCTCATGGGTGTCTAACCACCCATAGGCTTATACCTTAATGTTTTAGTCATTGGTAGGTGTAGCAGTTATCAGATTCCACATAATAGTGGATTCTGGAAGAGACAAGCAACTGCTGCTTTCCCATTCTGAAATAATAAAAGCTAGCTGTAATTAAAATTTGCTTCTTGCTCAAAAGAAACACACACGATCCTGAGTTGCTACAAAGCAGAATTACAGTAAAACATGCCAATCCTTATATTAACAAAGCCAGGTATTAATTTTAGGTAGCCTTCTACAACTTAGATGTCTTCAGATATTCCTATCATTCCCAACCAGCATGTCCAACAGGAATGTTGGGAGTTTTGGCCTAAAATATCTGGATGGACCCAGGTAGCAGAAGGCTGATTGAAAGCATCTTGAGGGAAGGTTGTTGTCTTTATGTGCCATCAAGTCATCTCTAAAAACATGTAATGAACTGAGCCCTGCTCAGTTTTGTACATTCAAGGCTGTAGCTTCCTTTATGAAGCCAATCCATCTCATATTTGGTCTTTCTTGTCTCCTGCCTTTCTCTAGCATGATGGTCTTCTGCAAGGACCTTTTCCTTCTCATAATGTGCCCTAAGTATGACAGTCTCAGTTTTGTCATTTTTGCTTCTAGGGAAAGCTCTAGTTTGATCTGATCTAGGATCCACTTTTTTGTCTTCTGTTCCTGCATATTCACAATGCTGTCCTCCAGCAACATGTAGATCTGACGTAGTCTTATGTAGCCAAAACTGTGCCATTCAGACAAAAGAAGCTGGGGGGGGGGCAGGGTCCCAAACTTTGCAGTACCAAAAAAAACATCTTAGAAGACTCCTAAATGGTAGTAGTAACTCAATGAGGTTTGAGCAGGCTAGGTGAACTTAGAAGGAATGAGTTCCCTTGGAAGTGAGAATGGAGTATCCTGTGAAAGAACATGGCTGGCTCGCTGCAACACTGAACAGGATCACTGTTCTACACTGCAATATTTGCTTGCAAGCTTCAGTTGTTAATTCTAAATACAGATTTGGGGAAGGAGCACTGACCATACTAGATGGTAGAATTGGGCCCTTCTGTTTGCTCCTTCCCATGCAAGTAGAAGAGAGTCCAGGATCCCCTTCTGTACTGCCATCTCTTTTATCCCCTTTCATAATGCCCAAACTAAAGTTTACTTAGACCTCTCAGAACCTTGACTGGCCAGATCTCATGAGACCCCAAGCTAATAAAAGCCATGTTCACTGACACAAAGCTCAGACTGTACTCTCTCTTTGCCTTAAAGGCCTGCTTATCTCAAACTTTTAAAACCGTAGTTTTTACATGGAAGATGAGATACTGTTCATGGGTCTGGAATATATAACTGACACAAGAGAACCTTTTGGCTAAAATGAAATAAAATAAGTCAAAGGGCTGATGTGATTTCAGCAACTGTTGGAGCACCAGTTGTACCAGTCATCCACCTAAGAAATAAATATGGTTGTGTGGATCTGCCCTTGGAATGTAAATTTTAGGATGGGAATTGTGCCTTCCTTGATTTATGTGAAAATACTTACCACATAAATGCAGTATGCAGAGAATGCAGTTCATTTTAAGTTTAAACATCTGTGAGCAATATTGATCAGTTTTTTGCTGCACTCCTGTTGCCCTTACCCTTGTTTTATCTATGTAGTTTTATTGTTGCTTTTAACAATACATTTTATGATCATTGCTATCTTCTATACAGAGGATTCTGCACAATTCGTCATTAATAATAGCAGAGGAATTCAAATAGGCTCCAACAACTACATGAAAATAAAAGAGCCAGTTCACCAAATAAGCAGTGCTCCAGCGAATGTTCCCTACAATTCTGTACATTACCAGAAGCTGTTTGGTAAGTAGAAGTGCAGTGGTTTTTCTTCCTTACTGGATGATCACTGCTTCTGAATGCTTAAATTTTGTTCATATACTTCTGTCCTGGATCATAAGGCTGAATCAAACAGAGGATCATCTAACATTTCAAGGTATTTGATGTGCAAACATTTATAAAGGGCTGATTAAAGAGTGTAGGAATGGATTGAGGAAAGCTCTGCCATGAAAATGGGAAACAGCCTCCAAGAAACGGTTGCTGTGATAACAAGGCAATCCTGCTTGAAGGAAGGTCAGGATACAGATGTAGTAAATAATGGGTAAGCTCTTCCACTGTTAAAGACTTTGGATAGCCCTCTTCCCTCTGAAAAAGTGCATGAGGGGAGCATGGGTTGCACAAGTTAGCTGTGCCCCACAGGGCAACTCCACGCATCCTGTTGACCAATGATAATATTTGTGGGGGGTCATTGGATTACATAGAATGTATGGCCTACATGTAGAGAGGTTCACTTGTAGAGCACCTCAACATGAAGGGGTATTTTGATTACCTCCAGTGGATTCTATCTTCAACTCCAGTGGATTCTCTCGATACTGTTCAGACAGCACGCACACTGCCCTGCTTCGCATGCTGGCTGAATGTGGGCACAACAGAGTGGGCCTGAGCATAAATGCAATGGCACATAGAATCACAGAACAATAGAGTTGGAAGGCGTCAATAAGCCCATTGGGTTCAATCCCCACTTCACTGCTGGTCTCCAAGGTAAAGTATCCCAAATAGATGGCTGTCTAACAGGCTAAGAATGGCTCTGAATCTGGCCCTCCTCGTTTCTAAGAGTAGAGGAAAACTGTAGTTGCTCATAACCTAAACGTCTCTCACCCTTTTTCTACCACCAGAGAGTGCTGTTCTTGCTTCCGATATACACCTGAACCTTGTGCGGGACAACTTGGCAAAACAGTGGAAACATTGTGCACGTAAGCTGGGCTTCACTGACCCAGAGCTGGATGAAATTGATCATGACTATGAGCGAGATGGACTAAAAGAAAAAGTTTACCAAATGTTTCAACGTTGGCTGATGAAGGAAGGCAGCAAAGGGGCTACTGTGGGAAAGCTGGCCTTGGCTCTCTATGCTTGCAGGAGGATAGACCTTCTTAACAGCCTTGTAAAAACAACCCAGGAATCTGAAATGAGTAACAAATGAGAAGTAAAATAGCAGGAGAATGCTATTATTTTGAGGAGAATGTTCTCTGAGGAACTCACGGATGTTTCGCTTTGATAGCCAGTATCAACATCTGATGCTACCAGGTGCCATTCCAGCATAAAAATGAAGATATAAGATACGGTGGAGTGCTTGTCTGTTGCATTTGATTAGCAACCTGGAACACTGCCAAGAGCACTGCCAAGAAAATTGAAATGTTTGCCTTTTTAGAACCTGTTGCCAAATTATTGCCTTTATATAATTGCAATAAAAACATTACTATAAAATGGGCACAACACTTTTCCCCTGGAACTAAAGCACTTCTTCACACAGTGCATGGCAACAAGGGTATGAAACTCATTTGCCTCAAGATGTGGTGTGAAAGCTGGTGGTTTAGTAGGGCTAGTAGGCCTGATGGGATCTCTCATGGCCTCCTTTCTTTCGTGGTCTCATTCAGATAGCAAAAGTATTTCCTTTCCCAGGACAGTTGGTGGCTTACAGTTGTCATAAAGAGGTGCTGAACTGAACTCCTTGTGGCCCAAGGTCACTCTTATTCCAAATCACATCAGTCATTTCTTTATACACGTTACCAAACAAGCACAATTGGTTAAGGAACCTATTTTATGTTTCAGATATACAATTGTGTGTATCAGTCTAAAAGGGTGAATTATTTTCTTTGAGAATCAAAAAATATTAATGCTTTTATAAGAAGAAACAAAGCATGGGAGAGATGTCCTTGTTCGTTAGCAGTGCCATCACTGTAATTAGTCATGGCAGTCTTACTGGGAGAGGTTTGGCAGGGGATGACTGGCATCATTCCAGTGAATAGGGCAACATATGTGATTTAGGTATAGATAACAGTCTGAACATTTGTGGGGATACACTACTTTGTTACTAACCAAAGAAAATACTGGGATAACATTCCAAGATTTATCACAGTCTTGGAACCAACCTAAAGCAGGACTTAATAGAAAGCAAAGCTTTTGCTGTTGGAATAGCACATCTTTTCAGTCTTGTGTTATTCTGCAGTGGCAAAGGAAATCTGGAGCCGGGAGACAATGCAGATGATCCAAGCAACCTTCAAGGAAGTGATCAGCAATGAGGCCAGTTGTGCCAAGCACTAAGAGCAAGACCCAGAAATGTAGGAAATGGGATGCACTTCTCTTGAAAGCAAGCCACATACCCAGATACCTCATAGAATTGCAAATGGAAAGGAGGCCATTCAGACCTTGGCAGAATCTAACAAGGATAGATGGAGAGAGGGAGATAACTGTAGCACCCATGTATGGCACAGATATGGAAGGCACACTCTCAAGACAAAATAATTTTATAAGTCTCAGTGATTACTGATTCCTTTACCCGAAGCCTTTGGGCCTGGTGCTGAGAAGGCCCCCTCCCTTTCCTGCTGCTTTTGCTACCTGTGCTTCAAGATGCCAGGTTGAGGAGGGCTGTGACGGGTTCATTGAGCCATCGAATTGGATCAGCCTAATCCCACTGAAAGCCTACCAATCCAGCCATCACACCATGTCTTGAGGCAAAGGACTTGCATACACTTGTCGCCATGCATTGTGTGAAGAAGGGCTTTCGTTGGCCTGTTCCCGCCAATTTCACTTGCAGACCTTGCTTCCAGTTCCACCGGAAAAAGGGATCAAAACGGCACTCTCTTTCAGAAAGAAGGCGTAGGGTGATGCCTGCACCTCCAACGCTCACCTGCATGGACCATTGGACTGTGAAACAGGCGAAGCGCCTCACCCCTTAGTCCCAGCCTATAGCCAAGATTTGCTAGGGTAGAGTTGCCCCCTTCCCCCATTTTTTCTTTAGGTCTCCCAAAATCTCTGCCCCCCCCCCCAATTTTTAAGTAAACAATTTAAAAACAATTTACAGTTTGTCTTTAAAAGGACTGCAAACCAGATGAATTCCCCCCGCACCCCATTTCTTTGGCGCCCTTCCGGGACTTTCAGGCTGACTGCGGGCCTGGCTATCCCCCTGCGACGCCGTTCGGGCCGGGGGACCTCCCCCCGGAGCTACCATTCAAGGCAGGCGGCGCAGGCCAGGCGAAGGCGGAGCCGCGTTCAGGCCCGGGCGGCGGCGGCGGGGAAATGGCTCGAGCCGCAGGCAGGCTGCAGCGCTTCCTCGCGCAGCTTTCGCGTTCCGCGCAGTGGGCTGCTCTGCGGAGACCGGCGGCTTTCTACAGGTAATGGCGCGCTTACTCACGGACGGCCGTGGAGTCTCAGCAGTGCCCGAGAATGGGGCGGGCGCCGCAGCGCGGCAGCGGGTGTGCGAGTGCGCGTGGCTGGTTGCTTCGGGGCACGGTGGGCTCGGCATAAGGTATATCTTTCAGTGAGATCGGGATAAGGTATATCTTTCAGAGGTCAGGAAGCAATACAAGACTTCATCTGATCAAAACACAAAAACCAAGACGCGATTGTTTTTCCTAGCAGCACCTAGCAAGGGCTGCCATTTTGTTTGTTTGTTTATGCTATCTAAGGACTAAAGTCCTTTCCCGCTTATACTAACGACAACAGTAGTATCTAAGGCCTTAGTATATGCAGGGCTTCTTTGTAAGGAAAGCAAGCATGTTTTTTTTTAAAGGAAGATAAGAACAAAGTGCCTCTGAGCATGTGAGGAGTGCTGCCTAAAGCTAGAGAAACATACTAGGCTGGAGGAGGTTAAGAACAACAAAATCTCGATACACACACATCCCTTTTGTACATCTTCCTGTTCTGGCAGGTGACTAGGAAAATAAAATTCTAGGTGGACTAATAAGTTTGGGCCAGGTGACAACCTTAGCACCAGCCCTGGCACAGTTATTGACATTTTTGAAAACGACATAAAAAAGACAACAGGTGTTTTGTGGGGCTTAAAATATAACAATCTAAAGGTCCTGTGCATGCATATTGGGAAGTTCATCCCACTGAAATTAATAGGATATGTTCCAAGAATATGTGCAAGGGTTGATTTGCAAAACAGCCCATAAGCTGCCGCCGCCTAAATGAGTCTGTTCTTGCTGGACTAGACTAACATACTAACTTTCTGGAATGCTTTGTCTTCCACGTTAGCGAAAATAAGAGGGCACAAAATGCTGTTTAAAGAATGACCAGAGTCAGTTTTGTTTCACACTGCAATGATGGAAATGGAATCTAGCCTTCATCTTACCAACTTTCAGCTCAAATCTGTTAAATGTAGTTGTTCTACCATTATTGCCCTTAATAAACCTGAACAAGCCTGCGCCATGGGTAGTATCCCAAAGCTGAGGTAGGGGCCAGGTCCCCCCTCCCCAATATCTAAGAGCCCTGCAGGATTAGACCAAGGCCCATCTAGTCCAGCATTCTGACATGGGGAACCCACAAGAAAGATGTGAGGGAATTGCACAAAATCCCCCACGTTCACTAACAACTGTTCTGCAAAGTCATTCTGCCTTGAACACTGGAGGTAATATATAACCATCGTGACTAGTAGCCTTATTCCCATTGAATTTTACTAATCTGCATTTGAAGGTATCCAAGTTGACAGCCATAGTTTATTTCTGTGTGGGGTGACAAACTATTTTATTTGTCCTGACCCTCCCTGAGGTAGCTTCATGGGATCAGAACTTTATCTAGTATGGCTAATCAGCAATCTTTTTGCTTTCATTAATAATTAAATGTGCAGTGATCCTATGAAACAGGAATGAGGGAGGTGTGTCCTGCCCCCAGAGTGCAACTCCCATTATCCTCACCATTGGCTGTGCTGGCTGGGTAGACCTTCCAGGATTTGCAGTCCAACAGCATCTGGAGGACCACACAATTGCCCTGCTGTGAAAGAAGTCATTTCAAGCTTAAGGAGTTACCAGTCTTGGGGGTAGAGGTACTACTCTACCTTTAACATTTGGTGTTAAGCAAGTAAAGCCTTTTCAGTGTAGTCTTACGAGTACCAATGCAAATTACACAAGCCAAATCCACCAGTACTGTAATAGCTGTCCTTAAAATAAACTACAGTTCCCCCTGGATTTCCCCCTGAAGTTTAGTTAAGCCTAATTGGAATTTCTGGTTACTAAGGGTTTGAATCCATGGGTTGAAGCAGGTTTCAGATCCTTTTTGGGAGGGACTCCCAGATTACTCTGAACAGTACTTAATTTGGTGGCTGCTGTTGGAATACTTAGGCAGTTATGGGCAGTAAGGGTAGGGCAAGGAACAGCATTTCAGAGAGACAGAGAATCTGTGATTCTGCCCTTGATCCTGTAAGTGTCTTTAAGAGGTTAACCAGCACCCCACCTTAATAAGTGAGATTTCCAGTAACTTAGTGCAACCAAGCACAAATCTATGGTAAGAAGAGCCGATACCCTTATTTGCAAAAGGGCCCTGGACTACCTTCCTTGCTCTTTTCAGCAGAGTTTATGATGGTAGGGTCTAGCTTCTGCTAATGAGCTTCAGAAGTTGTACAGTGGATACACAGTGGAGAACAATTGCATGCCCAGTGCTTTGTCTAGCACTTCCCACTGCTGCATTTTCAACTGAGGAATGTGCTTCTCTCTTTCACAGGAAGGAATCTTGAGCTCTGTTCATTTGGATCATTTTGCTCATGTACTAGCATATCTCGTCTGTGCATTGCAATTGACATGTGTAAATAGTAGCTGCACATTTTATGAAGTGGCTCCAGGGTAATAGAGCAAAAATGCTGAATGTTTCTTGTGTGGGGTTGGGGAATATTTCTTCTAGCACTGCAGTAACCTCAGCTAAAGTTGAAGTGAATGGCGTCCACCTGCACTATCAGCAAACAGGAGATGGAAACTATGCTGTGCTGCTACTTCCTGGCATGTTAGGTTTGGATTTATTTTGCTTATGTACAACTTACTATTGGCGTTCTTTTCATGCATCAAATGTGCACAAGAGCAGGGGGAATTTATAGAGTTGCTTGAAGTATGTTACACTGTGTGATTGTATTGTAAATGAGGGGTGTGGAATGTGTGGCACTCCAGTTGTTGTTGGACTGCAGTTCCCATCAGCTCTAGCTAGCATAGCCACTGGTGAGGATGATGGGAATTACAATTCCAACATCTGGAGGATTACACATATCCCATCCCTGCTCTAAGATAATTGTGTAGAGTGCAGAATCTAAAGTCTATTTCCTTCTTGATTATCCATAGATGTTTATTGGATCTTTCCTGGTTTTATATGTTGATTTATTTAAGCTGAAGAAAGGCAGTAATTCTTTGAAAAGCAGAAAGGAATTTGAGAGAGGCACTCCTTGCCAAGATGCAGAAATGCTTTTCTTGTCTCTGATCAGACAGGTTTTTGAAACCTATGACCTATGAACCTCTGCAAAACTGTTTTCCAGAGGTGAAAGCAGCAACCCTTACTTCCAAACCAACTTTCTGAGAAAACAAAGCACCCATCTTCACTCTTATTTCTATGCATGCTGCCATTTAGTCTTTCTCAGCAATTATATTTAAGTATGTACTTTGTTTACTATGGACCTATTTTGCAGTGTTTTCACAAAGTGTTCAGAACACAAGGCGCACCTCCTTTCTGCTTGGTTAGGGTTAGATTTTAGGAAAGCAGCAAGTATCTCTAGCCCCACACTTGCCCATCAGAAATACTAGGTGGACATTCACCATCTTGCAGTGGCTTACACACCAAAAGAAATGAGTTTACAAGATCAGTCTGAAATAAGATGTGTTCAGCCTGGTTGACCCCACTATGGCAAGCATCTTTGTTTTGCATCCTGTATGATCATTTGTTTCATTATTTATATTCTACCCTTCTTCCAGGAGGAGCAGGTTGTCCTACAGCAGCTCCTCATAACCACCTGCTGAGGTGGGGCAGACTGAAAGAAAGTTCCTGGTTCAGAGTCATCCAGTGAGCTTTATCGTTGGGCAGAGATTTGAACTCAGTTCCCCAAGCCTCAGGGCTATCATTCTAACTACTTTACTAATTACCTAAATATGTAAAACTGATGTACATTGGGGGTGGGCAGATTTCAGGCTTCCAGGGTATGCTTTGTTTGTTTATTACAACCTCAGCATATCCCAGCTGTAGTCAAGTGAAAAATAATTGTCCAAGGGCATGCATACATCAGGTAGAATTAAGTTAAGGGTAGCTCTGAGCATGTGGCTCAGGCCAAGAATTAGTTTTTTGTATCAGAACTGAGCTCACAGCTCTTTCATTCAAAAACCAACTTTTGAGGTTGGATCCAGATTTAAACTGAATCAAATTTGCTGGTGCAAGTGGACTTCCCTGCCCCTTCTTTCCAAGCCAGTCCCACCATCTTCCTTAAAATACCACAAACAGTCAGAAGACTGCTAAATAAGATGTTCCAAAAGTTGTCCAATCCAAACTTTCTTCATTTTAGCACCCTTATTTAGTTGGGAAAAGTCACCTTGCTGTTAAACATCTGGGAGTCAGAAACCTATACTTATCTGCTTCCAATCACCCACAGATCAATTTCAATACACTGGAGTCTCTGGGCAGCCCAGGCCTTCATTTCATTTATTGGGTTTTTATCCTGCTACATTGGCCTGAGACCCAATTGCCAAAGTCTATGAGTGGTTTGCAAGTATTACAATCCAAAAATATAGCATGAGAAAAACAAAATGCAATCTATAACATAATGAAATATAAGAATAAAATACAATTTTAAGGACAATTTAGAACCAGTTGCAGTAAGGTGCATACCACCTATTTTCAAGGTGACTTTAGATATGTATTTACCAGTTCTTCTTCGTGGTCTCCATGCAAACACACAGCAATGGGGCTTGACACGCAGTGTAGGCCTCATCCGGTGGAAACTTCCAGAGCTGGTCACCATGGAGTGAGCAGGAGCAGGGACCGCCCTGCCCTCTGAGTGGTACGTAGGCGGCAGCTCCTGCCCATTCCCTCAGTTCCTTTTCGACTGTGCTGGACTTCATTCTCCAGATCAGACCTCTACAGCTTAAACGGGTCGCCATTTTTCTTTCTCTCTCTCGCTCTCCCTTCTACTCAAAAAACTCCCCTCTTCTCCTTTAACTGCGTGGAGAGAAGGCTGCCGCTTCTCTCCCCTCTTGCCTTTCTCAATCTCCAGTTTTCTCTCTCTTCCTTGAATCGCCCACGTGCGCTCCTCCAAGGACCGCATGGCTGATTCAGCTCCACGCTGCTGCACCTCCTGTGCAGCTAGGATGCCTGCCAACGATGGGCACCCTAAGTGCCTCCTCTGCCTCGGCGAGGGGCACATCTTGGAGACTTGCACCCACTGCCAGGCCTTTAAGAAGCAGACGCGCTGGCAAAGAACCACACGGCTGAAACAGGCCTTATGGTGGCGTGCCCTCACATCCTTTACCCCGGGAGTGGATAACCCCCCTGGGGAAGATTCCTCTAAGCCTGCCAGGGCAAGGAGGGGGGCAGTGTCGCCAGGGGAAGGCCCCTCTGCGGCGCCGGTGATGAACAGAAAGCACCACGCTGCAAAAGAGCCGCTCCCCGTGGCATCGGAGCCGGCCCAGGATTGTGCAGTCTCGCTGGCCTCTGGAGCACCCTGGGTGCAACCCCCGCTGATCTGGGACTGGAGCAGCTGGGCGCCGCCATCCCAGCAACTCCACCCATGCCTCTGGCCACCCCCGCACACGGCACGGCCGCCATGGCCGCAATGGAGACTGCCGCATCCCCCCCCCCCCCGCAGCCCTGCCTTGCACAGCAAACACACACGCGCCACCCATCAGGACAGGAGCACCCGCAATTGTTGGTCTATATCTCAGGATTCAGGTCAGAGACGCTCCCCTGCCTCAGGATGCCCCCACTCCCCTACAACCCCAACCCTCTCCCCCGGGAGGCAGGTCTGGAACCAGGATCTCTCCTTTTCACCTGCCAAGAGGAGTAATTTCTCTGATATGGTGCTCCGCATGGCTGAGGACTTAAACTTCCAAACCTGCCAGCCCCCTGAGCCTGAGGCAGACCCGTGCTATGATGCACTTGCCTCTGGGGACAACACCACAGTGTCCATCCCAGTCACAGCAGTCCTGCACAGCACAGCGGTCCTGGAAGGCCCCGTCTGGCCCTCTGGCCACCTCACGCAGGGCTGAATCCAGGTTTAAAGTTATGGTCAAGCCCTTCCCCCGCCTACTCCACCACCCTAGGCCCAACTCCGTCATTGTGGAGGCCGTGTAGGGTACCCCACAAAGGGACCAGCCCACCCCAGTGGACAGAGAGGGACGCCGTTTGGACGCTATGTCCAAAAAGATCTATGCTGCGACTGCACTTGGATTCAGAATATCCAACTATGAGGCCACTGTGGCCACATACCAAATTTTTCAATAGGAAAAGCTGGGAGCAATTGTGAGCCAGCTCCCTGAGCACCTGCGTGAGCCCATCCGCCTCATGCACACTGAGGCTGAGGTCTCTCCCCCTCCTCCATTAGGGTTCACCTAGCGGCCATCTCCCACTTCCACCCCCCTGTACAAGGGTCCTCTGTATTTGCCCACCCCCGGCATGCCGCTTCCTCAGGGGCCTCTGCAACCTTGCCCCACCAGCCCGGCCCCACTCCCCCTCGTGGAGCCTCTCTGTAGTCCTGCAGGCCCTCACAAAGAGGCCCTTCGAACCAATGGCCTCAACAGACCTTAGGCTCCTTTCCTGGAAGACTGCCTTCCTGGTGGCCATCACATCAGCCCGACGTGCCAGCGAGCTAGCAGCCCTTTGGATCAACACTCCCTTCATGAAGTTCCACAGGGACAAGGTTGTACTTCGTCCAGACCCAAGCTTCGTCCCAAAGGTGACATCTTCGTTCCACCTGAACCAGGACATCATTCTGCCCGCCTTCTTCCCCAACCCGTCCACCCCCTTGAGGCCACCCTCAAGAGATGTCAGGAGGGCCCTCGCCTACTACAGGTCCAGGACTGAGACTATCTGCCGCTCGGAACACCTCTTCGCTTGCTATGAGGGCCCCAAAGCTGGGGAAGCTGAGTCCAGCCAGAGACTATCCAAATGGGTCTCCAATTCCATCACCCTCGCCTATGAGATGGCCAAGATCCCAATAACTGGACAGCCATGTGCGCACTCCATGCGCGCCCAGGCCACATCCACTGCTCTACTGGCTGGCATTCCCCTTCAGGAAATCTGCAGGGCAGCAACTTGGTCCACACCAGCGACCTGTGTGTGCCACTACTGGCTAGACATCCATGCCAGACAGGACTGTGCTTTTGGAAGGGCTGCTCTCTTCTATACTGCGGTGACGATAGCCTCCCTCCTCCTGAGGGGCCAGCTTGCTAATTGCCCCATTGGTGCGTGATTTGCATGGAGACCACGAAGAAGAAAGGCAGGTTGCTTACCTG